TTTATTTTAAAAATTTTAAGTTTAACTTTATCTTGCCAAAAGTGACGTACCTTATGACAAAAAGAAACTATATAAATGTTAGAAGGGTTCCATTAGAAATCCACTGATGATGTCAATTTTTGAAACAGTGTTGTATGCTCAGCCAAATTTCAATCAATTAAATAAAATTATTGTTGTCTTTTCATTTCTAATCGAACCATTCCAGTTTTATTTTTATTAGTGTAAATTTTTCTATTATTTTGTTTTTACAAACTATCGTTAAAAAGTGCCTATAAAATAATTATTTTTAAAAATAAGATGTTTTCAAACCTAAACGCTTTATAATTATATTGTGTAGTGACTTCATAAACTAGTGAAAAATAACATTCTTTTGAAAAAAAAATAAATTTAATTTAAAATATAAAAAAAAATTAAAACATAATACAAAGCTCAAACTTTAAGCATCTTTAACCTTTTCTATATATACATGTAATAAGAAAATATTAATTAATAATGAGATCTCCTTATACTTTTCAAAAAAAATCTAAGTGCTCATGCAAATAGCACGTATAAAAAATTTAAATCGATTGCTAATTCTAATTTAGTAGAAGTAGGATTTAGCTGGTTAAGCCAATTGGTCTTAAATATAATATAATATTCTGGTCTTATTCTGGTTGTTATTTTTAGTTGTATTTATAATAGTGATATCGTATTCCATACTCAAAAAATTGATTGATTTAACAAGATTTTAACTAAATTTCAAATCAAAATGTTCTTACTCGACGAATCAAGTTGGTTCAACCATATCTCATGTTGGTTTTATATCATCTTTATCACATGAGCTATAATCTTTCTAATACTCACTTCACTAGTATGTGGTTAGAGCATATTTTTTGACTAAAGAATTTTGTTGTCTATACATGTAAACCTAAGATTCAAAATTCAATGTAGGTATATAGCATTATTATTAATTATATTCTTATTTAAATTTGTAGAATAAAGAAAATCAAAAATGAATTAATTCGAGTTAAATAAGCATACATACATATGTAGGTTTTTATTAATTCTTTAATTTATCTAAAAGTAAGAAGATCTACAAAAGTAAAAATACTTCAAAAAAAAAAAATGGAAATAAAAAAATTGATGTGAATTAAAGTATACATTCATATATAAGTATAAATATTTATGGAAAATACAAATGTAAAATATATGCGTTTAGAATGAACTGATATTAGTCACCTACGTTTATGATACACCTTCCAGCTTAATAAACTATCAGGTCTACGATTTTCGCAATAAAATTTTATAGGCTTGCAATTTGTGTAATAACATATGAATTAGAGTAAATGCCTTTTGTTCGCCATAAAATTCATGTAATAAATAATATCGCCCTTTTAACTTTTTTTTGCATAAATTATTTATCCCAAATTTTTTAAAATTTTTTTCTTTGTCTATGAGTTAAAGTAAACTTCTGTGTTACCAGATGTAAATATTGCAAAAAACGTGCTCTGCCACCTGCAAAAAAGTGGCTTGTATTCTTTCAAATTTCATTTCAGGAATTCCACTCACTTTTACTTCAATGCCTCATACCTTTTTCTAGTGAAATGTTTTATTCTTTTTTCTTTTGTGGCTTTTGGGTAAATTTAACCAAATTTTTCCGGTGTATTTTATGGTTTCATAAAAAAATGTTTGGTATTTTCATATTAAGAATTTTCTGGCTTATGTTTAAGAATAAATTTGGCTGGCGAAATTTTGCCAAGTTTAGCAGTATTTTTATATTCAAAAATGACTATGAAAAATATTTAGCATTATATTAATAACTACAGTAATAGATATTCTACACATTTTTAAATATATTTACATGGATATTTTCTATATTTATACATATATTTTCCATATAGAGATTTTTTCGAATAGTAATAAACTACACCAAAAATTAATTTTTTATATTATTTTAATTAATCGAATTTTTGGCTGACCATACAGCTGTTTTGGTTATTGCTAAATACCTATCATCAGTGGTCTTGGTCTCAATTATTCAATACGATTTTTATTGGCAATGGTTTGAGTCGCTTTAAGAGGGCACGCAACATTCAATCGTGAATGAGATTCCACATGGTGGATGAGACGTACTGTTTCATATATTCGTGTGTAACTAAGATGGTTTAAAAATCATGTTCCGCACTTCAATTCGTTGATACAATGGTTTTCGATGTCTTATATGCATTCGATGGATTATTCTTGTGGGCCTTTTTAAGAGCGGAATTATAAAAATATGCCCGAGTATGAATACGTTAAAGAAAGCTTTGTTAGAAGGGCCAAATACTGGAAAATCACATTTGTGAACCATACAACTCAATTTTTAACCGTGGCAATATCGAGCTAGAGTGAATGGATTCTGAAATTTTGATTATTTTTACAAATTTTTGTAATTTCAATATAAAAGAATTTCACACAGAAAAGATACGTGGTCGCTTGAATAGGTGACATTTTAATCATCTAACCCTGTATATGCATATTAAAATCATAATAAAATAAGAGAAAGAGGTGGAAGAGACACTAGTTTATAATTTTTTATGTTATTAATTTCTAATCATTAATGATTAAAATATTTAATTCAACATAAAATTTCAACAAAACTTACTTCCTTAGCGAACCAAATAATCTTAATTCAAAAATTTTAAAATTTAATTTAAATGCATTAATTTTATTAATAATTATGGTAAAGTTATCAAACAGCATTTGACTTTTAATAATTAAAAATTAAAATATGTTGAATTCAGTCTTTTCATTATCTGCCTATGGTCTGAACGTCATCGATTGTAGCTAATTACTTTTACTAGAGTATAGTGATAACCCCTTTTCTTTGTAAATTTTAATATTAACTGTTAATTAACTAAAAACTTACAGCTATTGTGCATTTTCATTTATTATCTGATATTGAATTCATGTGAATAAAACTTGTTGACTTAATTATACTTTCCTTTATATCCTTTATTATATTTATGTCGAAAGAAAACACTTCGAGTTTATTAAGATAAATTCACATTTGTTAATTGAATAATTAAGATTTATTCAGAAACACAAATCAGTTACAATACATATATTTCTGATTGATGAATGTATGTGTTTACTTAATTAAAGTAATATTAAATGTTCACAAACAAAGATGTTTATAGTTTCTTAGATAATTAATGCAAATCTTATTATTTATCTTAACTGATTTGTTTTAATTAAGGCTATTGTTATACAAATGTGTTGTCAAAGATAATTAGTTTTCTTTTATAAATAAAATAAATACAGTTCATGATAAATAACAATTTTAAATTCGGTCAAAAATTTTTATTCAAAAAATATTGATTGCATGTTTCGAAAAGAATTTTCAAATAAAAATATGTTAATGTATAATACAAAATATGTATTTTAAACAATTTTATTATTTAATACATTTACACTACACTATTATTAATAATAATTGGAGATTTAATTTTATATTAAATGTTTCGTATACAAATGGCGAAATAGGTTTACTTAGATATAAAATATATTGAGAGTTAATATAACCACAATAATAGTTAATATCTAAGCATAACAGAACAGTATAATAATAAGAAAACAACTGATGACTTATAGTACATTAACATTGTCTAATTTAGGCACTTGCTCATCTATATTAATGAGTGGACGTTCACATTATAATAATCTCATTTATATAGCTGCTAGAACTTTTATAAACTTTACTTAGTAATATATCGCACAAAAAAATTGAATATATAAATAATATATTAAATCATTTATATATATTTTATATATCTATTACATATTTAATTAATAAAAACAAAGATTTTTTTAAATACTTACTTACTTAATGTGTTCAGCTGTTGTTTGTTTACATTTTCCGTATTGAATATGACACATATTTCAAATTTTTATAATTTTCCTTGTGGGAAATTTATTTTTAAGGGTTCATTCGACATTTTCACCTTAAATTAGTTGATTTATATATAATGAGCTCATTAATATGAAAGCAAGTTGTATGATAAATCATACTCATTAGTGGCTATGATGAGCAAAAACAGTGTGCATGTGCTATTAATCTGTGACATAATTTTGTAAATAATGCAATCTATAATATTACCTTATGTATTATACAACAGAATATATATTAGAATATAATAGATACAAAATTAGAAGCAATTTATTTCTGTCAATTTAAAAAAGTTATTTGAATGTACTTAATATTTTAGGGTAGTTGTACAAGTATTTATACAAAAATAAATATGTATTTGTCTAAAAATGTATTTTAATTTATTTATATTTTTATATTTAGATTAACAAATATATAGTATTTTACATGTATAAAAAAGTTTTCCAAATGCAAATAAAAAATAAAA